AGTCTTTCCTGTCCAGAGCACGGGGGCTGGACCTGATGGTCTCACGAGTCCCTTTCAGCCCTAAACTTCTGTGAATCTCTAGACATGCCTAAGGAGTCTGTTCCAGACTCGTCCCCAACACTTGTTGTCAAGCCCTCAGCCTGAGAGTCCTGGGGACAAGTCCAGCCAACTAGCCTCCAGGCCCTGTGAGAGACACTTGACTGCATAAGTTGGGTTAGTAAAAACAGAGACCTAAGGCAATAATAAATGGTCTGTAGCTTGTGTTTTTTACTAGCCCCTAGGGTGTGTGCAGGTGTGAAGATAAATTGGAATCCCATGGAATACTTCTGCCTGGAGAAAGAGCCATTGCATGTGGAGGGACGTAGGCTTTATTTTGCTTTTCTTTTTTGTTATTCTTCCAAGTTCTCATACTTGGCTTGTGAACAAATGTCCTGTTTGGGAAACTTGCTGTGTTGTTGCTAGAGTCTGTTGTATGAGGTTCTGTGTAGAGGCAGTGATTGTGGAGACGTTGTGTGACCAAAAGAAGAGTTTTCTCCATGCTTTACACTCTGTTTAGAGTTCATTCTTGAAGCAGAAATGTTTCTTAGGCCAGGAATTGTGTGGGGATGATGCTCTCAGATTCCCAAAAAAGGGGATTGCCCTGCATGCTGTTTGTGACTGCATGTTATTGAGCACTGCTATATTGTATAAATTAAACAAGTTACATAGTGATTATACCTTGTCTTTAAATATCAATTTCTCCTTGACTAAGAAGCCGACTTGCAAGACACTGGTCATCTGCTATTATCTGTCAAAGAGTGACACTGTTATGGGATGCTGGTGCAAAAAAGAAAGGACACCAGCATGTGCTTCATATTGTACTTGCCAAATGGAAACATGATTTGAACAGGACTGAAAATACAAGCTAGTCTTTCAATAGGGTTACTTCTGTGAAGAAAGGTGACCTGACCGAGTCACAGATTTTCCTACCCAGTTCATATCTGAGTGAAGAAGTTAGCTCTGCAGCAATAAAGACATCATCCAAATACAAAACTTTAGCTAAGTAATGGGGCAGATGCCCTGGGGAATTACTCTGCATACACATCTCAGAGCCTTGGAGTCTCTCATAAGAGGACTCTGTTTTTATAAATTTCATGGTTAAGCCTCATCAATTACCAGGTGCCACCTGGAGTCAAGAGTTCTGTGTTGCGTGTGGCTGACAGTAGCTTGTGGTTAGCACCAGGGCGGTGTTGGGAGCTGGGAGGGACAGGGAAAGGGTGAGATAAACGGCCCCACAGTGAGCTTTAAAAAGCAGAGGGAACAGTGAGAGAAAGAGAGAGAGAGATCAATCTATCTTGATATTTGGAACAAACTGAACGGACAAACGACGCTACAAACTGGCAGTGAGTGACAGGTAGGCTGACAGGTTTAATGGCAGCATTCCAGTTGCCTGTGAGACCTGCAAAAACTGATTAATTTTCCTGTTTGAACATGCATAGCATTGATTGTACTACAACTGTTCCTCCTCATTTCTGAAAACCCTATTCATTCAGTGGGTTTACTCTTGGAGTAAGGTGATACTCAAGTGTGAGTACAGGCAGTGTAATCTGATCCTTGTTCAGAAGTAACTGAGATGTTCTGATATAGTAAAAAGAGGAATATTTTTTTCCAAGCTAAAAAGAGGTGACATTAAATACAGCTGTTAGATCCAATTAATTATCAATGTATCTGACAGCTGGGGGCGGTGTTCGGGACAAGAACAGACAGGTACCTGACAGGAGTAAACAAGGAGGAGGAGGGTTGTTTAGTGTGCCTCAATTAGAAAAGCAAAGAAAAAGCAAAAATAAATGGAATATGAGGAATATATTCCTAACCCTAAGGTATCTGGAAGACTTCCAATTTCCTGGGAACTGCAGAATTTAACTAGACCAAATGTTTGATGAATAGACTGTAGGCAAAAATTCTGTGCTGGCAAAATGAGTGGTCAGATGACCCAAGAGGGCTTGGTTGCTGTCTGTCTTTTTAGGATGTAGTTGCCAAAAGGAAGTAATGAACTTTTGAACTTTTCCTCAGCAGTGGGTAAAATCTGTCTAATACATTTGAGCTGCAGAATAACAGCAAGCATAAGGCCATGGCCCTAGGGATAAGTATGGAGCTAAGATACACTGTTGGAGGTTTAGACAAGGAGAGGAGGTTTTGATTTAACTATGCCCATTGCAGGCTGGTTCATTGTAATAAATGTATGGGTAGATTATAGGGGGTGTTGCTTGCTGGCTGCTCTCTTGTGATGGATATATACTGAAGCTGCTGCTGGAGATGCTGAGAAGGTAGTCCATTGTATAGGAGTATAGGGTAGGTATAGAGAAGCTCTTCAGTTACCCTGCAGGCATTGGAGTACTATTCCATAATCTTGCTTCTGGGGCAAGCCAGATGCTGCTGTGTAAACAGGAGGTTTCAACACAGATGGGTCCAGAGCATGGTAAAGCCAGGGAATCAAGGCAGTGGGTATGGTTCTCTATACATCTGGGCACAGCTGTGTAGGATAGTAGTGGGTAATTTTGTAGACAGCAGAGTAAAAGCAAGCAGGACATCAGGCAGCAGCTGAAAAGAACAGCAGGGGATGGCAATACAGGCAGCAATATTCAGCCTTGCAGGCAGCTGGGTATAGCAATGCAGGCAGATGGGTACAGCAATACAGGCAAGTTGTTCTCAGTGGGATGGAATTAAGAGAAGCTGGGAAGAAAACATAACTTTTTTGCCAAGGTCCACTTGGAGGATTTTGAAATTAAACACAGCTCTTAAGGTGTGAGCTGAGTGGGCTGACATGTCACTCTGGATCAGGAACTTAATCAAAGCAAGTAATCCTTTCCAGCTGGACTCTGAAAGATTGTATTGAAATGTTGCTCCATTCAAAGGTTATATCTTAATTTTTTAAGGTGATAATCTTTGAAGAATACTGCCTGAAAGACAGATCAAAACTTCAGACATTGAATGGAGTGTGTTCTTATGTAAAGCATCTAACTTACTCTTCACTATGCCCTTTATTTACTTTTTTGCACTTCCTCTGGCTGGGCAATGAAAAATGGGCTAGTCCTTTTCAGTTTTGTTTCTAATCTGTTTCTCTTGCCAATTTTCTTTTCAGGGTCTTCTTCCCTAGAAGGATGTTGAAAGTTCTGTATTCACGTGTATTAAATGCAATATTTTAATGGCAATGATATTGCTGTTATATTTGATAAAAGATTATTCTTCCAAAACCTGAAATAGAGGCCAGATGTGACCAGACATTTTCAACTTTTAGTTCTTCCAAATAACCCAGCTCAGCTTCCCAAATTTAAGCACAAGAATAGTTCCTATGGATCAGATCTTCAGCTAGTCTAAATTGTCAGAGCTCTGTTAAAGTCACAACTGAGGAAATACCCCATTAACTTTAATTCTTAAATTCAGAATGCACTTAAGTGTCTTGCTGAACTGGAAGAGGAAATCCTGACTCTGCATTGGTTTTGGGTGATATCATATCAGGATATGGTTACTCAGCATTTGGATCACTCAGCCTGTGCAAAACCCTTTTAAGAAACTACAGCCAAGCAATCCCATTTTAGGTTCAGAGCCTAACATATGAAGTAGAAATGATTGTTTTGATGACTTAAAGAATATGGTATAAGGCATGAAGACTTCCATTTCTCAGCTCCCAGTTAAAGTAGTGATGACCAGTCACGTACTATTATAGTCCTCATTTAGAAAGGAATTCCCTTGATTTCAGTAAAATTACTTGTGTGAGCATGTAGTACAGGAGTGAGTGGCAAAGGTTGTGTGATGCTGTTATCTAATAGGTATTAGCTGCTCTACTGTATATAAAATGAGCAAGTGGTTTCATGCTGTTTCTAGGGACAAATGGGCTACATCAGATTGAGGTACATAGCAGAGTTGTGTGAGGAACCTGAGTGACTGCCATTTCCACAACTATCAATCTTGTGCCTGTTATGTGTATTTAACAATGATTGAATCCTGTCTCCTGGACAAAAATCCATATTAGTTATGATGATTATGTATGCATTATTACACTACAAAATGGGTTAACTGCTTTAAAAAGTTTGGAGGTTGGTGGGAAATACTAAAAGCACAGCTCAGGTTCTCTCCCATGGCAAACTTCCTCTACATAGATATGCCAGTGTACCTTCTTCTACAGTAATGATTCTATTCCATAGGTGAGGGATGCCTATGATACAGGCTTGCATAGTAAATAATCTGGGCAAATATGACATCTGATGAAGTGAGCTTAAGTTGACAAAGGCTTATGCTTTTTATATATATCTTTGGTTAGTCTATAAGGTTCATGTTTACCCTACCTTCTGCCTGATCCCAGCCTAACATGGCTAGTAACTACCCTTAAATACCATCAAATTTTACATGTCATTAGTGATACTTAACCAATGACAGTTTAAACTAAAACTGTTATTTGCTGTGCTCACCTGCAAACTCATCCAATATTGGGCATTTCTCCCAGCATCTTTTAATTGTAGCTACAAATCCAGAGTTACCTAAGGATTAAGTTATTTTGCTCAGGTTATGGCCACTAAGATTTTTGAAGAAAAGGTACTACATATAGAACTCGAATCTTTCTGTTAAAAGATCTAGGTTCTACCACTTCAATTAAAAGAAATTCTTCTTTGGTTGTTAGCACTATCTCACTTAAATCCTGTTTTGAGGGCTTAAATTAGCCTCTAGATTGTGGACAGGTTATTTTCCACTGTCTGTGCAGGTTGACATTCCCTTTTTGTGACTGTCATGTCTCCATTGTCATCCTAGCGTTTATAATTATTTCTACAATAATACGGTATACTTCAGGAGGTAATTTACCTTCAAAGCAGCAAGTCAGGTTGTCTGAAGGAACATGCCAATTATAATCCATGTGATTTACACCTTGGCATCATTGTTCATGCTTGAATACTTCACTTACTTAAATCCTCTCTTTCTATTTTTCTCTCTCTTTCTTTTCTTCAGGTGATCCAGTTCCTGGAAGAATGGAGATGTTACCACCACCAAGCATGAACCTGCCAGAAGAAATCCAGCATCCATACACTAAGTTTTCAGAATGGAAATTTAAGCTGTTTAAAGTAAGATCATTTGAAAAGATACCTCCTGGGGATAGCCAAGTGGTAAATAAAGATAAAGCAGAAGAGGCAGCCTCTTTGGACAAAGGCAATGTGGTACATATGGATGCAGTAATCCCAGTGATGGATAAACAGGTTGTGCTACAAGCAGAATTAAAGGTCACTAAGCAGACACTTGAAAAAGATGCCAACAATCTGAAGATGCACGATAATGCAACTCATCAAGCAAATCTGGAGGAACTTTGCCGCATTTGTGGAGTTTCATTCAAAACTGACCGCTACAGAAGAAGTTATCCAGTACATGGACCGGTGGACAATGAAACTCAGGGGCTTTTGAGAAAGAAAGAGAAAAAAGCAACATCTTGGCCAGATCTTATTGCCAAGATCTTTAAGATTGATGTGCGAGGAGATATTGACACAATTCATCCTACTCAATTTTGTCACAATTGCTGGAGTATCATTCAGAGAAAGTTCAGCAGTTCCCCATATGAAGTGTATTTCCCGAGGAACAGTGCCATGGAATGGCAACCTCACTCCCCAAATTGTGATGTTTGTCACACTAGCTGTCGGGGGATCAAGAGAAAGAAGCAGCCGCCCAACTTACAGCTTGCAAAACGACTGAAGATCATTGCAGAACGTGCTCGAAAAAACAGGTGTGTAAAGAACCAAGGAAAGCTAAACAACAAGAACCTCATGAAAAAGATTACCAACTGCAAGAAGATACATCTTAGCACAAAGCTTCTTGCAGTTGACTATCCAGTAGATTTTGTTAAGGCTATCTCTTGTCAGATCTGTGAGCATATTTTGTCAGATCCAGTGGAAACAACGTGTAGGCACTTATTCTGCAGAACCTGCATCCTTAAATGTCTCAAAGTTATGGGCAGTTATTGCCCCTCCTGCCTATACCCTTGCTTCCCTACTGACTTAGTGACCCCAGTGAAATCCTTCCTAAACATCCTTGACTCTCTGACTTTGAGATGCCCAGTGAAAGAATGCGATGAAGAAAGAGATTTATACACACATAAATAAAGGGGGGCGACCAAGACAACACCTTCTGTCCTTGACCAGAAGAGCTCAAAAACATCGTTTGAGAGAACTCAAGCTTCAGGTCAAAACGTTTGCTGAGAAAGAAGAAGGGGGAGATATAAAGGCTGTTTGCATGACTTTGTTTTTGTTGGCTCTCAGAGCAAAAAATGAACACCGGCAAGCAGATGAGCTGGAAGCTATAATGCAAGGGAGGGGCTCAGGGCTTCACCCAGCTGTTTGTTTGGCAATTCGAGTCAATACATTTCTCAGCTGTAGTCAGTACCATAAAATGTACAGAACTGTAAAAGCTGTCACCGGGAGGCAGATCTTCCAGCCATTGCATGCTCTTCGCACTGCTGAGAAAGCCCTGCTCCCAGGTTATCATCCATTTGAGTGGAAGCCTCCTTTGAAAAATGTGTCTGCTAATACAGAAGTGGGAATTATAGATGGGCTTTCAGGCCTGCCACACACAGTTGATGACTACCCAATTGACACAATTGCAAAGAGGTTTCGATATGATGCAGCCTTGGTTTCTGCCTTAATGGATATGGAAGAAGACATCTTGGAAGGCATGAAAGCACATGACCTGGATGACTATTTGAATGGTCCTTTCACTGTGGTGGTGAAAGAGTCTTGTGATGGGATGGGAGATGTCAGTGAGAAGCATGGATGTGGACCAGCAGTCCCAGAAAAGGCAGTTCGCTTTTCTTTCACCGTCATGACCATCACTATAACTCACGGCAATACAAATGTAAGGATCTTTGAAGAAGTCAAGCCCAATTCAGAGCTATGTTGCAAGCCATTGTGTCTTATGTTGGCTGATGAGTCAGACCATGAGACTCTGACAGCCATCCTGAGCCCTCTCATAGCAGAAAGAGAGGCCATGAAAAACAGTGTACTACTTCTTGAAATGGAAGGCATCCTCAGAACATTCAAATTCATCTTTAGGGGTACAGGGTATGATGAGAAACTTGTGCGTGAGGTGGAAGGCCTTGAAGCCTCTGGCTCCACTTACATTTGTACCCTCTGTGATGCAACCCGCCTGGAAGCCTCTCAGAATTTGGTCCTCCACTCCATAACAAGGAGTCACACTGAAAATCTAGAGCGATATGAGGTGTGGAGGTCCAACCCATACCATGAATCAGTTGATGAGCTCCGTGACAGAGTGAAGGGTGTTTCTGCAAAACCATTTATTGAGACTGTTCCCTCTATAGATGCGTTGCACTGTGACATTGGCAATGCAGCTGAGTTTTACAAGATATTCCAATTTGAGATAGGTGAGGTCTACAAGAACCCTGATGCATCTAAAGAAGAGAGGAAGAGGTGGCAATCAGCTCTTGACAAGCACCTGAGGAAGAAGATGAACCTGAAACCAATAATGAGGATGAATGGAAACTTTGCTAGAAAGCTGATGACTAAAGAGACAGTGGAAGCAGTTTGTGAATTAATAAAGTGCGAGGAAAGGCATGAAGCCCTCAAAGAATTGATGGATCTCTACCTGAAGATGAAACCAGTGTGGAGATCTTCATGTCCTGCCAAGGAGTGCCCAGAACTGTTGTGCCAGTACAGTTTCAACTCACAACGATTTGCTGAGCTCCTATCCACAAAGTTCAAGTATAGATATGAGGGCAAAATTACAAATTACTTTCATAAAACTCTTGCTCATGTTCCTGAAATCATAGAAAGAGATGGGTCCATTGGTGCCTGGGCAAGTGAAGGAAATGAATCTGGGAACAAATTGTTTAGACGTTTTCGAAAAATGAATGCCAGGCAGTCAAAATGCTATGAAATGGAGGATGTCCTGAAGCACCATTGGCTGTATACATCTAAGTATCTGCAGAAGTTCATGAATGCTCATAAAACATTGAAAAGCCAGGGCTTCACAGTTGATCCAGAATACAGTTTAGAAGACTCCCTGAAATTGGAAGACTCTTTGGAAACCAATAATTCTATGGAATTCTAAATGTAACGAGCATTTGGAATTGGTTAACAATGACGTCTTCCTTTAAGGGGGTGCAGTAATGTCTGCAAATTCCACTTTTACACTGGGCATTAAAGGGAATCTGTCCCTGCTTCGAGGAGTTTGGCACAATTCTTTTCTGGAAAATAGGTGCCAGAAAAATACGATGCATCAGTGTTAGTGTCATTTACCTGCCATTTTGTCAGGTAAAAGTGGAAAGAAAAGTTCTTCTTTGGTCTCAGATATTTGTCTGCTACATAGCCAAAGTGAACAAGGTTTTAGACAAGGTGATGCAGGTTGAACACGATTATGAAGAGTTATGATGATTGAAAAGATGAGGATGGGTGTTCTTTTTATTTACATTATTGCATTTTATCTACTATATAAGCTGGTTTTATTTCTTTTTTAATCAATGGACCTTTGGTTTTTTAGGAACAGGGATTTAACATGGAGGCTTTTAGACATTCATTTTGAGATAAAGGCTCAGTTATTTTTGTATAAAACAATTGACTTAAGGTCCAAAAGTTGATCTTACCTGTCGCTTTAAATGTTTTTTTTTTCTTAACATTTATTTTAATAGTCTAAGTACAGGAAAAGTAGCCAGAATTTTAGAATTATATCTAAAATACAGGCCAATATGTTCTAAAAATCAGGCTTGATCATGTGTTCTTAAATCAGACTTTACAAGAGAGTATATTTTTCTCTGTGCACTGTTTACATTCAAGTGATGTTATAAACCTGGCTATCAGCTGGCAACCACAAGGAAAAGTTTGTTCAGTGAGCATTCTAGATTTCTAGAGTTAGATCCTAACTGGTGGGCATATACAACTTTTCTGGGTTAAACCCTGGCCTCCCATTGTTTTCAAAAAGACTAGAATTTCACCACTTAATATTAATGGAGTTTCCTTTATATACACAGGCTGTGGAGACAGTCTATTGTGGTTGCTCGGCTCTGTTATGTTATCTGATAGGGATATAGTTCACATATCACTTTTACTGTGTTCTAACTCTCCTTCTGATATTGACCCTCTTTGTCTCCTGGGACACACCACTTACATTCTCTGCCTCAGTTTCCATGTCTCTAAAATGGGACTAGCAATTACCTACCTCAAAGACATGCTATGAGAATTAGTTAATATTGATAATCTTTGGGAATTAAACTGCTTTATATGTGTTAAGTAGCATTACTTCAATATTTAGTCAACACTCAGAGAAGCAGTTTACATTATAGTGAAGGCACGATTATTATGAATTATTTACTTTTATAGTGATATTGCTACATGCAGATATAGATACAGATAAAGAAAGAAAATTTGAGTAGATAATACAGGAAATTTAATTCTTGCAGGTTATAAATACCCAACTTTTAATGACCATGAGGCAACTAGAAATACTGACTAATTTGTTTTAACAGTATTGTGAGATTTGGTACTTCAGTTATTCCTGAACATATTCAGTGAATGAATGTCTAAATTTGAGATCCTTATTCAACAAAACTCTTAAGCACATGCTTAATTTAAACATGTGACTGTTCTCATTGCATGTAATGTGATTACCCAGAAACTTGTTGATTGGAACTTATAACTATGATTTTTTTTTTAAATCACTGACTAATTTATTTTAGAAAATCATAACATGTATACCATAACTTATCAGGAAATATAATTGAAAACTCCTAAGTTACTGTGGCTTGTGCTCCTAAATCACTTATGCAGTTTTTAAATTCTCACTCTTACCATCTAATACCTAATGATTAATTGAGGCATTTTAATGTTTGGAAAATTAATTTTGGAATAGGATTAAATGCACAAATATCTACACCATATGCTGTTTTCCTTAAATTAAATTCTGCTTTTGTTTTCTTTTTTTGATATGTTGTTGATTCCCAAGTAGAAATGAATAAGTGAAGCCAACAGTTTTTGGCTTTTTTGTAGTAGTTTGTTGTGCTTATATACTATATCTTTAGGAATTTTGTATTTATCACTTATGGCCAATGTATACATAGAGCTAGTGTTGGTAATTTAGTCATATGTGGACAATTTGGTGATATTGGCTGAATTGAATATTCATTTTTAAAATCATTTTATAATTTAGATTTAATGCTGAATATAGTTTTGAAACAATCTTTTAGACGTCTCAGCACTTTGATTGCCAATAATCAATAGCTTTTTAGAATTTTATGTTTCTAGATTATTTGCCATAAATACTACCTTTTATATATTTCACAACATGATTTTCAATTTCTGGCATGCTGATTTTGAAACGTTTATTATTTTTCCCAGATCAAACCCTCTCTTTTAATTCTTATTGATGGTGACAAGTATTTCCCATGAACCATAAATATCAGGTTTACATAGAGTCACATTTTTGTAAATAAATGCATTTATATGTTTTTGGTTTTTTGGGACTATGTCTGTATGCAAATAGCTGTATCCATTTTTCCCATCTGTATGTTTATTTTCTGTGATGGTAATATACTCTATGTTTTCTACTTGAATTTGTTTGAATAACACAAGGGTCAAGCCAGCAATCCTTTCTTGTCCATTGTTAAATTCACCTCTGTACAGTCTGTCAGTTAAATCTTTAATGGGATCTGAGTGGTGTATTGAGGTTGGGTTGATCCTCTGCACAGGAAGGAGTTTCAACCACAAGTGGTCCTTACTCACATTGGTAGTTCTGAAGTCAACAGGCCACATTATTTCCTTTTTTACAAGTGATCTCACTGATTTGCCTGAAATGCTCCAATCCCAAAGCTCCTTCAAAATCTGCTCATGTGCAAGCAAGTGGGATTTGATCCAATGAGGACTCAACAGGCCTCATTGTAAAGATTTCTTACATATATAAGGATTTATAAGCCGGGGGGGGGGAGCGGGGGGGGTGGCAAGGACTGTAATGTAATTCAGTACACTGAACAGTATACAGACTGGGACCTAGATGTGCAATAGCATGCAAACACATCCTTCTGTCATATATCAGTGTTGAAGTCACACTATTCACTCAGCAAGACACGCTACATGTATAACAGATCTGGAGAGTGTGGATGACATGAAAATCAAATGTCATTTTTCTTATTTTTTTTACACAAACTTGAATTTATTCTCAGTTTTTTTCCATTGTCGTCATCTAATTTAAATCAAGAGACTTTCGGCTGGAGAGTTTTGAACTCATTAAAACAAATAGAATTCAAATGCTAAACACCTGCAAGTGAAGCTTCTGTAAACAGGGAATAGAAAAACAATATTACAGCCACAGAGGCATGCATTTGAATGCAAGTAATTTTTGATTGCAGAGAGATGCACCATGTGTTCACTCAGCTTATTGTTAAACCCTTTGATTTTGAAGAGGCTTTAGATAAGTGGAGACTCTTGTATTCATTTTGTTTTTTCATAAATCATATTTTCTTTTTACTCTAATAACTGGTATAAATACCTCGGTGATTTCTTTATGGCAGATATTTTTCTTGTGAAATTGTACTGAACTCCTGATATTTTTTGTCAGTCATGTTTCATTTGAGGTCTTTTGTAAGAATTTAGTAAAGGCATGTTTAGTTTTGCTGTAAAATATGTAAAATGCTAGGGGTTGGATTATGCTCCTGCACCATTTTATCACTGACTTCAATGGAATCATTCCTGATTTACCTTGTGGCAAAGGAGTTCAGAGCCAGCCCCTTGGTAGTTTCAACAACCTAGTTTCTGACTCAGATAAGATGCTTTCAGTGCATTGTCACACAATATTTGTCTAGAATATTTTATGTTTACTTAATGTATGCCAGTTTCTTTATTTTTAATATTTGATTTAAATAAAGTTCTCATAAATATTTACATTTCTGACTTTCTGTTTCTTGGACAGTTTTCACTCATCCTTCTTTTTCATTCGAATAGGCTAAGTACAGACAGTTAAAGACCCTGAGATTGAACTGATTCAGTCTTTGCAGGTTCGTCAAAGCTATGTATATTTAACCGATCAGCAAGTGAATAGACATTCACTTTTGATTCTGGAAATGCAGCACATGCCTGCAGCTGCCCAGGCCAGAAGCCGGGGGTGGGGGTGAGGGGATGCTAGAGCATGCCTCCCTGCTCGACTGGAGCAGACTGCTTGGGCCAAGGCTAGCCCAACCACCCTGAGGGGGGGGAAGGGTAGTGGGGGAAGTGGAAAGCATCTTGGGATGCTGGGGGACTGTGAGTGAACTTGAATCTTGAGGGGATCTGGGACAGAAGTTTAATAAACCAAGTTAATCTAACACAGTTTTTGATAGGGTGCTGTCACAATGCTGGTCACCAAGTTGGCCTGCCCACCTGTCTAGGGCAGTCTGCCCTGATTTTCCTGCCATGTCTTGATGTATGAATAACTGGTGTAAAGTGCAGGAAGCTGCCCATAAGTGTCCTGACCCCTGGGGTGTTATACATGGTTCCAACCTCCCCTATACAGTGTCCCATGCCTTGCAAATGGCATCGAAAGTATACACTCTGCCTCAGACTTACCCTGCGCCTGGGCTTCCTGCCTTCTCACTAGGGCCTCTAACATATGCCCCTTTCAGTAGGGTCTCCACTTATATTATCTAACTCTTGGGGCCGGCCTGTGCACAGTCCTTCAGGCCACACAGACCCTACTCTGCACGCCCCTGTGCAGCCCTTCAGGCCTGCCTACATGGACCCTACTCTGCACCCTCATGTGCAGCCCTTTAGGCCGCCCCTGTGACCCTCCTCTACATGGCCTACTATGCACTCTCTGCCCCCTCACTAGGGCCACTATTCTGCCTCCTGGCTGGGGCCACTACTTGGTCCCCCTTCACTGGGGAAAAGGGGTCTTACAACCCATGGGACTCAGGTGTCTGTAGACATGTCTGGACCCTTAACCTGTCTGTGCTATGGAGTTACCCACCAGGTTGTGGGGGTTGGGGCTATAAGGCACACCATACTCACCTTTCACTAGGAAGGCAACTGGTGTGGCATTTCCTGGAGACCACCCTGCCACAGACAGCCCCACCACACCATACTGCCCTA